GAGCACAGCGTCTTCAGCTCCCGCTGCGGCCCAGTCATTGGCTTTGTGGATTTATTAGCAAGGTAAATCCTGCTCACAAACTGTCAAGTCGACAAAGAAATACAGTACAGAAACAATGAACTGCCACCATGAAAGGCAAATGCACTTTACATAAGAAAGTCTGAAAAGGTCACCAGAATGTTTGTGGGAAGGATACAAGTGTTTCCTAACTTTGAACAACGAGACCAAAAGGTGGACAAAGGAACCACTGTGTTACCACCCCATGAAAATGGCCACAGACTAGGAATTAATTCTAAATCAATTGTGCTCCAGTGAAACCCTCTGCAATACAGATACCGATTCACACACCTCAGTGTCATCAGCAGAACAGGGCCCTTAATGAATGTTTTTCTGGAATTTCTCTTAAAAGAAGTGCAGATCTCAAGCTCCCATTCCTCTCCCGCTCCCCCTGGACACTCTTTATACAAGGATAAAAGGGGAACTTCTCGTCCATGACCACACAGCACAGGAGGAGCTTTCCAAGACAAAGATCGATGCCTGATCTTCTGATTTTTGGCACGAATCGTGTAGTTCAGGGCTATTTCCTACTTGGCGGTTCCCAACAGCATATCTTATTTATTTACAGAAAGACAGGAATTAACAACAGCTCATGACGTTTTTATTTTAATGAAATTTAAAAAGGCAGTTATTAGTTATACATACACACAACTGATTCTGTACTTGTTAGTCATAAATATAGAACATTCAGAAGTACAAAATACACTTTATCCACAGCACAATTTCACATCAATATGAAGAGTTTAAACAGATAAGTAACCAAGTGCCTAACAATGACAGAAGCCCATTTTTGGAGTTGCTTTATCTTTTTTTTTTCTTTTTTAAAGACCATTAATCTACACAAAGTCATCAGTGCCCACAGTCATCAGTTCCATGAAACGCTCTCTGGTTTGGAGCAGGAAGAGACTGACCTTTCACAGACTGTCAGATGCCATCACCTTTTCTTTGCTCCATTAACAGAAACAAACCCAAGCCCACGTTCTCCTCTTCTTCACAGCTCACAACTGTGAAAAATGGGACTCTGGCAAAAATCACCTGAAGCCAAACTTGAGCACTGCCAGGAAAAGTGAAAATATCTGAACTAGAAATTAGTCCACTCGATACCTTGCAAACAAAGAGCAACAGCAGTATGACACCGATAAGGCATTAATGACAAAATGGCTGTATTATTCTCGAAAAAAGAGTACACCTATGTATAAAAATATATGTCATAGCAATTGGGTAAATCCAACACTATTTAACACTGTGCCAAAAGGAATTAAGAGTTAAAAAGGCAGTACTGCGAGAAGTATTTACAGTTTCATACTGTACTTCAAAAGAAAAGAAAAAGGCAACAAAGCTACAAATGGAACTACCTGGTTAAAGCGTCACCATAGGTACTGCCAGGAGCACTTGTAACAAGGAATGCGATGGAGCCCCTCTCGTTAAACAGGATTGCTTCTCTGAGTAAATGAATGTAACTATTTTAGTATCTAAAATCTTCTCAGTCTACATGCCCACTCATTGAAATAACTCACCCAGACCATTAATGTTTGTAGTTTCTTGCTCCATCAGTTTAAAACCCAAAGGACTCAGTTTCAAGAAACCCCACAGTTTCACCAGAAATCACAGCTTTATTTCCAGCTTAAAAAAACACAAAAGAAACAGGAAATCGACCACCTGTGAAATTCTGGAAACCAGCAGCCAAAGCACCAGCAAAGCTACACCAAGGGCACGTAATAAAAACGTCAGCATTCCAAATGCACTGTATAACCTCAGCTACAGAAGAAGTAAGCTGCTTTAGTAACGAAACACGTGACAAAAAGATACAGCACAGCCAACGCTACACAGCTTGTTTAGGCCTCAAGACCTGGGCCGAGGCTGTTTGAGAGGAGCAAAGCCACGGACACGGCGGCACAGGGCGAGGGCAGCGCGGATGCCCAGCAGCGGTAGCGAATGCCCAATTTGCTCGTTTGCTCGCTCAGAAGCACCAAGTTGCCAAGCTTTAAGCTCCTCACGCGCTCCCTCCTCGCTGGCTCGTGAACGGCGACCCAAGGCTTCCCATGGGAAGGCGCCACAGAGATGGGATGGCCGGGAACGGGACGGGAGGCAGTGAAGGGTGAGCCAAGCAGAAAGCATTGGCTCGGGAGGGCAGAACAGAAACGGGGAGCGATAACGGCTCACAGGAAAAACCCAAACCTGGCGCTATCCCGACTGCCCCTTCACGGAGTAGCCATCCCCTTTCCCAAGCAGACAGGCAGGAGTGGTCTACAAGGGGAGATGCAGGCCGTGCTCTGATTGGCTTCAAAAATATAATACTGTATTTAAAGAGTAACAACAACGATGTGCTTGAAGTTCTGCTAACAGTGCACTTCTAACTGCACAACCAAATTCTGTACACGAGAAGCCTTCTAAGTCGTATAAAAACCAGGACACACTGAGGAAGCTATCACTGCTGATGACAGGAGAAAAAAATACTTTAAAAACCTTATTTTTAGATTGAATTCAGGAACAAAAGTGAATTATAGATATACTTTGAGCAGTTCGCTGGGTAAAACATAGGAACAGCATTTTTCAAATTATTTTTTCACTTTATGGAGAAATATTCTTAAAAATTTTAGAAGAACTGACTTATCGTGTTGAGCGTCTTCAGTGCAGAGATATAAACTGCTCATCTACTGCTCTCCCCTCGTGATGAGCCCCTTTCAAAAACATGTCCCGCTGTACAGGTGCTGATGGCCTCACTTGGCCAGCGCAGCACCCAGGCACCTTATACAGACATCAGTGAACTTCACTGGGGCACAGCAGAGCTTTGCCTGTCCAATTCAGTGAGCAGTCGCTTGTCCAAGCGGCGTGAGCAGGAAGGGAGAGGGCTCAAGAGAAGAAACATCCATGTATTTAAAAGAACAGTGCGTAAGTGCATGGCTTGCTCACCCAAGAAGGTATTTTCCCAGTCTCTGGGAGAGAAGAGATATGAGGGTTTTTTGTTTGTTCTCAGCGTGATTTTGGTGAGACAAGTCCAGACCAGGAGATCTGAGGCCTCTCCAGTAACTGCATCTAGAGATATAAAAAAATTCCCTAAAAAAAAAATTCCCTAGCCCCATTCGCACATAGGTAAGAGATTGGTCCCAGATTTAGCGAGAGAAACAGTAGGAAGGACTCTTTCTGGATGCTGAAAACTACACGCTGTTCCCGGAGAGGGCAGGGAAAGCAAGGTCAGATGGGAACACCACCGTGTGCCTCTGTTAAAGCTGCATCCATGGGTCACGTTCGCTGCAGTCCAGCTGCCTGCACTGCTCGTCAGCATAAAACCTGCATGGCCAGAGCTGGTGCAGGACAGTCCCTGCCCCATTTTCAAGATACTGTCCTGACAAGATGGACACAGCGATGTGCATGGTGCCTCCCATCAGAGGCACCCAGAATTCAAGAGGAGCTACGAGGAGGCAGACCCCAGCGCTGTGAGGTCTAAGAATTGCTGTGGACATTGAGATCGTCCAGGTCTCCAACCTCAAGGGTTATGAGCAACCTGCACCCAGGAACTCTGAGCTCCTTGTTCTCCGAGTGATTCCTTCTCCTCCCATCCCAGAAGAAATGATCTGGATAAAAATGCTGACCTTACAGCCCAACCTCTGTAACTCATCATGCATATAAAATACTGAATAAAAAACTATACACCACATTTCTGATGAAGACATATGGCAGATGACTCACCCAAGAGAAAGGTGATGAACTTACCTCTGTGGAAAAGCATGTAGCATTCAGAATAGTCAAGAGTCCTCAACATACTTGGTAAGCTGAAAATCCCGTATTTAACAGAATAGGGTTAACAGGGTTTAACAGAAGTGACTGCCTGGGAATCCAAGCAAAAATTCAAGTTATCACTGTGTACGCAGTGGACAACAGTCCAATTAATATCTATTACCAACTCACTCTAAAAAAACTATACACTACAAAACCATCTCACTGCTTGCAGCAAATGAGCTTGAATGATTTCCTAGTAATAGGCCACCACCTTGCACTGTTAAAATGTGAGGTTTCACAGTATAAAAAATTACTTCACAGAAAGGAAAAGCAGCGAATATAGAAAATGCAATCTTGATGCGTTTACAGTCATTTCTTACGAGGCAATATTTTTGGGAAAGCAAGAACGATAAAAATTAAAGCAGCCAGTGAGAAATGTACAGAGTTATAGGCCTCAATTCAGTGCAAAAACAGACTAATAGCTTATGTAAGTAAATGTTTGTTCTGAACAGAGAACCACCTGAATTAAAAGTAAGAACACCTATGTGAAGTGATGGAGACTCCCACGGTATCGAAATCCTCCACATATATCGTCAACCTTTTCAGTACACTCCAGAATGGACCCTTTGTAAAGGCAAAAGAAACCAGTACAGGAATACACTTCAAACAGCACAAGATATACATAAAGTACCAAAATGTACACACATTCAAGTTTAAGTTAGAAAAGGCGGAGCTGAATCTTCTGGTGAGAGAGGCCTACATTATGTTGCTTAATCTCACATTTAAAGGGACCTAAAAACTACAAGATTCAAAGAAAACAGAATATTATGTCTGCTTCCAGGAACTTAAGCTTAAAGCAAGGCATCGAAATCAAGTGGTAGGCACTGTAACAAGACATTACCTTACCTCTTCTCTGTTAGTCTTTGTTACTTCATTATCTATTTAAAAATTACCATTCAAACGAAATATTAGGTATCATTCACATTCAAATATTTAAGACTCAGAGATTTTTTTTTAAATCAAGCGAAGGTTTTCATCTCTGAGGTAGATGACAATAAAATAATAAAAAAATGGAGCTGTCAATGAACACTAACAAGTGCTGGAGCTCCTCTGTTGGCACTGGTGCACCCCAAGGAGGAGAGAGCAAGCCCTACACCACTATCTGAAACATGAGAAATGTGTCTGCTGGTTTAGTAGCTTCTACAGAAATGCAACACAGAGAAAGCAGAGCTAAAATTACACTGAAATGGCCTTGGAGAAGAACTTCCATTTCTGCTTCGCAAGCTACTCAGAAAAAGGTGGAAACATGCCCAGGTCAGCAAAATCTTCAATGTTGTAATTGCCAGTACCCTGCGTTGGATCCCCCGGCATCGGCAGCATGTCCTGCGTGATAAGGAAAAATGACGTGTTATCCAGACACAATCTGCCTCCTGTTCATCTTCTCAGTGTGAAACCAGAGAAGGCCAAAGGTTAGATAAATCAGGTGAAAACCAGACCTGGGCAGCGTGCTGGGCTAAGGGTTATGTGCTACTTATGTTTTGCCAGAGCATTTCTGAAGGGGAAGTGGGACTTTGGCAGGGCAGAGGTTTTGTATTGCTCCTCTGAATAAGGGACATTTGAGCTGCCCCGTGCTCTTCCCAGGCTGAAACAGCTCCCCTTTGGATGAGTAGGTACATATGGAGAGAAGCAAACTCTCTGGCTTCATTATATGGGAAATTATAAATATATTCAGTTATTTATATATTCAACATCTCATACACCTTCACCCTACAGAAAGGAGCTCCTGCTGTGTAAGCATGGGTCTGGGGTGATGCTTTAACCAACACTCTAAGTGAACATATGACTGCTCTTTGTCCTCTGAGGAACACTGAAGACTGGACATCCACCCCAACTAAAAAGATGCCCAAGCAGCCTTCAGGCATGTACAAAGGCAGAGGAAATAGCAGGGGCTTCTCAGGAGAAATGGGGTTTCATGGTAATAGCTCCCATGTGTCTTGAGCCAAGTCAGGTACCTGCAGGAGGCTTCAAAAAAACACTCAACTTTCCTCTCAGCTGGAGACCAAAGCCACAGGGAAAAGATATCCCTTGCTGAGAAAACCAGAGTTTATGCTTGCTCTTCCTGTCAGTCCTTACAATAATAAGCTCGTACTGCAAGGCCAAGTTTTGCCAGGGATGGCTCATTATCCTTACAATAAAACAAAACCTAAAGAGCAAATAAGAGAGCTCACAGGATCTGCTCTGTAAAGGAATAACTACTGAAAGCTGCTGTGTACTGAGAAGGTACCCCAAAACACAGACAGATTAAAATCCATCTGAGGTCTCCGTAGCATCCCTGTCAATGGTGGTGAAAGAGGCTGTGAACTTATCTGGCAGTGTCTCAGCTGCCAGGGTCAGCATTCATGTTCTAACCAGAACTTGCACTTATTTTATGTTTTCCCACATTCCTCCCCAGCCAAGAGGAAGTTGTAGCTGCCCTGCCTGTTTTAATTTCCATCTCTGAAGGCCTTTCTGCTGCTGTGGCCTCTGAGGCGAGATCTCCTCAGGTACAGACCCAGCAGTGTAGTTCATCAGCTCCACTGGAATTACCCTGAATATGCTTCTGGGTTAACATCCATGCAAAGCAATTAAACTTTGCTTACAGAGAGAGATACAACAGATTAACCTTGCCTGGGCCATGGGGTAAGAGCACACAGACAGGCAGTTATTCCAGATGTAGTGATGTTATTTGTTCCCAAGTGAAGCAATGGTTCATTCACACAGAAGTATTTTCAGGCTGACGTCTCCTCTGCAGCGTTCCTGTGATCAACTGAGCATGAGCCTGGTCTTGCAGGTGAATCTACTTTCTAAAAGATAATGAGATCCCCCACTTCTAAACCTTGCTTGGGGCTTGAACTGCCTTTTCTGCATCTATCTGCATTGTTTTGTTGCACACTGTCTTCTAGATCCAATTTCAAAACAAATTATACAAGGACAGAGACCTTATTAGTTACCTTATAAAGTCCCACTCCATCTGTAGGGAAGGCCCAAAATGATAATACTGTAAAATCAGGTAGTTGAGGAGGATTGTTTAGCAGATACTGACATGGTTTAACCTTAAAAAAATTATTGGCCAGGATCTTCTATGCAGTATCAGACTCCTTTCCTGCTTGAGTTATCAAAGAGAATTGCACTGATGACTAATTGGATTTGACTGGGATTTTAGAGGCCAGCACCAGGATAAGAAACTCTACTTGGGGCTATTTCATGGCTTCCCTGCAAAACGCGCAAGTCTTAAACACAGGGTGCAAAAAAGAGGGGAAATAGCACTTCAAATCAGCAAAGATGCTGTTCTTCAGCAGAAAACAAAACCGTCTTAGTTGTAGCTAATGCAACAGCAGTGCAAACCCACAGCAGCACACAGCAAGGGGTAACTGCTCCAAGCCCTGCCAGCATCGAGGGTCACGGTTCTGCACCCAGCAGCAACTGAGAGGTTGTCAGAGGGACCTGGGGCTCGCTGAACTCTGCTCACCTGGAACACCTCGGTCTGACTGGGCTGCGGGTGCGAGTGCTGGTCACCGCTTTGCTGGTTGTGATGCTGGCTCTGCCACTGGGACCAGACTTCAGAAGGTCTCCCCTGGAACTGCCCGCTGCTCTGGCCACCTTCAGCTGCCCAGGGGGGAAAGGGGAGAAGTCAGAGAGCAGCTCCTTCCAAACACCTGCCTGCTTTTGAGGCTTCATCCAATGCCCGTGTTTGCAAATAAGACTTAGAATAAAGACCCCAGGCGACACCTGGCCCCAGTAAGATCAACACACAACAGCCTTGCTGTGTTAAATGTAGGCGTCATTGCTGTATTAAATGCAAAGTGTTGTTTGCTGGACTATCTTGTCCTCCAACATTACAGCTGCAAAATTATTTACTTAACATGCAGCTTATAGCAAATGATTATCCTGTTCATGTGGTGATGGTTTCTCAAATGTCTGAGGCCATTTAAATTTCACAGAGTAGTGCCAATAGCAAGCTCATATGGTAAATATGCTTATAATAATGATTTCAGGGAAATGGATTTCTTTTAAATAGTCTATCAAGAGAAAACACGATGCCACACACATTAATTTGGTCACCTTTAACACATACGCTTTCCACGAATACAGCCACAGCTCACACTTAAACCGGACTCATTTTACCCCGCATTTCTAGAGACTGGTCCCAGACGTATAAAAGTTTTGGAAAATTTTCATTCAATTATTTACAATGTCTCCTTCTAAGAATCAGTATTTTAGAAAGCTTGCCACTAGGTTTATGCTTTTTTCCCCAAACATTTTCTCCTCCTTTTTCTTTTTCTTGTTTTTTTTCTTTCTATACAACTACTCCTACTATTTTTGCCTATTTTCCCCTCACTGCAGAGAATCAAGCTGGGTGCATCTGGTTCCCACCAGATTATCAGCACCCTCTGCCAAGGATGCCAAATTTCCTGTGCCAAACTTCCACACGTGTGCTATGCCAGGTCCCTGACAGACAGACCTGGTCATGTCAAATCAGTCACCACTCCTAGTCATGGCTGCCGAAAATACAGAAACACGTGCTTAATCCAGTCCTTTCGACTAGCACCTAAATCATGCAAAGTAGATAAAGTGAACACTTTACAGGGAAGTAAACAGGCAGCAGTGATGTGTTTCTATCACATCTGAAGCAGATAATTACAGCTCTTCCCTTACTGACATTACCACATCCAATAACTCGGCTGACTCAGAAACCCTGCAGCCATTCCATGGGCCAAAACAAAATTCGTCGAAGTTACCCTTTAAAAGACTGCTGCAAGGGGTTTTTTTTGGTTTGTTTTGTTTAATTCTCAGAACAATGCATTGAAACGAACTCAGTGAGGCAAATGATGGTTCTTTTCAGCAAAGCAGTTACTGCCAGCCGGAGGTTCAAGCCGTTCGTCTCCGTGAAGGCTGTGTTATTAATAGTATCCAAACTGATGTAGGTCAGGAAATGTTTCTCATTAGGTGAAAGGGTTCTTGCCAAGTAGCTTAGGCCTGAAATGCAAGGCTGTCTCATAAACAAATGTACAAAGCCTGCTGAAAATGGAAATGGAGGCATGAATAAGCTCTGTGGGAAGGGCTCCCTTTCAATGCGCTGCTTCTAGGCAGGTCTGTGCTCCGGGAGGCCGATCTGCCACAGAAATGCGCCCCTTTTATTCTCAAGGGATAAGAGAAAACACACTTTAGCACAATTCTACCTATGCTTTTGGGAGCTGGACATTTTTATCAGCCAGCAACATCTTTTATGGACTCCATGTGTATTTATCACTGATGGTTTAATAATCTTTTCACTCTTTAATATTATTCTGCCAGTGAAGTGTGGAAAACTTACCAAGGGGTCATCCACTGGGTCACGGTCTGAAAGCCACTAAATTGGCACGCAATAGGAAAAGATAACCATTTCAAAACACGGCACCTACTCTGATTAGGTTAGCAGCAGTGCGTGTGCAAAAAACCCCTGTTTTCAGCCAAATTCCAACACGCCATCTCTGGGCAAGAGGACACCAGCACGCAGTCAGGGAAGTTGAAAAATGACGAGAATGTAAATTTGCACCATTTAAGTGTTCTCCTGAGAAGTGAAAAGAAATTGAACCTGCTGGCCACAATTTGGGAGGACGTGTGCTAGGGATGTAAGGAACTTTTGAATCTTTCATTACACCTTTACTGGAAGAAAAAGAAAAAAAAAGCCCTCATGCTATAAAATGCCTCAATATTCTGAAGTGTGCTGGATGTGGAGGAGACACAGCACGGAGGGAACAGGTCACCTCAGTCCACCCTGCTCAATGGGAGAAAGCACAACCCTTTCAGCCCCTGGGCTTCCCAACCAATCCACCAAAATAAAAGGCTGGAGGATTTTTAATGAAGTTAACACTGGAGAGTTTCATTTTTATGTGCATTTCTGTGTACCGTCATTTAAAACTTACCAAACCCTGCACTTCGGTTTGCTAGGCTGGAGTAGGCATTCCCACTCGGAGAAGAGGTGGCTGGGCTGGAAAGGGGGCTGTACGACGAGGGATCGGCTGGGTAGGTGTGACTTGTTCCAATCCCAAAGGGAGAGGACTGAGCCTTGCCAGACTGAGATGGAATTTGCTGAGGAATAAGGGGTAAAAGAAAAAAAAATAGTTGTATTGTTGAGAAACAGCACAGCAGACTCACTTTTTAACAAAGTAACGACTAAATAAATTCTGCAGATGCGAACAGGCACGTTATTCCTGTCTCAGCCGTATTTCATCTCTGTCAAAGACAACTTATTGCTGCATAAGGAACACAACAGACTATAAATACCAACATTACAGCTCTCTTGCTGATTAATTCATATGTACTCAGTATCAGAGCTATTTGGAAATACATTATTTCCTTCACGTCTATTACAAGGATTAATCTCAAACTGAACAGGTATAAAGAATTCACCTTTATCTGCCAGGTGTTTTGTTTTTTCCACAGTAAAATCACGGTTATCTGAATGTCTTGCAGAATATATGCAGTTCTCAGCTGACCAGAGCCTCCAGTGCTTGGGGGTAAATGGTAAAAGAAGTTTCAAAGCTAATTAGATGCTTTCTCTCCCTGCCTAAGTAATACAGGCAGCAAAGTTATTTTGCCTTGTAAAAGGCTTGGGAGGGAACGTGAATCACCAGCCCTGGGAGGAGGGAAGCCTTGCTTTAACTGGCCAGCTGAGTTAATTCAAGGGTATTAAAAACAAACTTGCTGTCATTTTCATCTACATAATGGCTGCGTCAGAGGATCTCCAAGAATGTTACACAAATGATTAAACACTGCAAGACTGCTTTGAGACACACACAACACGTAACGTACACTGAGACTAAGGGAGGTGAAGCGTCTCATCCAAAATCACGTGCTACAGCAGCCTTCAATGCTACCGACAGAATCTGCTTATCAACCATTTCCTGCATTATGAACAAATCCAGCAGGTCCAAGGAAAACTCACTGCCCACCCAGTTCCACAAACAGAAATTAAAGGTGGTTACATCTCCGGATACTTTTAACGACATGCACCGTTACTGCCAACCAGCGCACTCCAGTGAAATGATTCTCTTGGACAAACGCAGCGGAGCTGGGGGAGGAAAACAGATCCCAACAGGCATGTAACATGGGGAAGATGCTACTAAGTCTTCAGCTCAGCTCCAAGCTAGGAAATCATGGATTTCTAAAGGTTTCCACAATGACAGTGAGAGTATGACATGTCACTTCTACAAGGCTTACCTCTATTTTACTTTATGTAAAATGAATGAATGAATTCCAATTTCTCTACACTCACATATAAACTGTTGACTTGGACAAAATTTGGACAGTAAGAGCGATGAGCAATTTTTTTTTTAACTCATTTTTAGCATCCACCATATCATGAAAAAAGAAAGACTGGATCTCATTAAATGACAGAATAACCACAGCACACTGCGGGCTGGGGAGCATAAGTGATTAATGTGGAAACAATTCAGTTACTGAAAAACTGTATCATGCCCACCCCAACATGCCATTCTAGCCTACGGAACAATGGGAAGTCAAGGGTGATTAAGAGCAGCATCAATGATAGAACAAACATGATTATTTCATATTTGTCTTTAACAGTTTCAAAACTGTTCTTTATTGCTGCACAGAGCAAGCGGTGATTTCTGGGCTAACGCTGTCAAGCGCAGGGCATCTGATGGAGGGATGTGCTGCTTCCTCCAGCACACGACACAGTGTGAGCTACACCAGGCAGTGCTAACGGAGGGGCAGAGCAGCCTCTGCTGTGAATTCATGCCTGGATTTGTATGTGCCCCTTTCTGATAACCTTGCTGACTGTGGGTAACATTGATGAGTGCCCAAGAAAGAGTCAATGCATGGGCTTAATACTAAAGCATAACAGCTCTCCTCTTCCTTTTCATTCAGTGCACATTTAAAAATCAGTGCAGGACCAAGACCTTCCATTGGGCTTGTGTCAGAGTAGTGACTGCCACTACGATGAACATGATTATAAACTAAATGCAGTTACGCATCGGGCAGCTCTCTCAAATTATTGTAACCTGCCAAGGAACGTCAGTGGGGGAACAGATTTCTCTCCAACCACAAATGATAAGGACGAAGCACATTTAATCACATTATGAATGGGGCTTACCAACTCTTCTGTAAAAAGCACAGAGATTGCAAAGCTCTAGTGACCGTGAAAATAAACCACCTTTAATCAATACCTGTCCTGGAAATGGCGGGCGATTTCCTGTCCAGGCAACCTGACTCTGATTCAGCTGGCGAGATATCTGTGTCAGATTCTGGCCTGTCGATGAAGACGACTGGATGTCGTTCACACCGGGCACGTGTACCACAGAGGAACTGAGGGAACAGAAACAGTGCAGCGTTTGTAGGATGTATTCTTGATGCACGAATAGTATTCCAGACATGGAAATTTTTATAATCTCCTTAAAACTAATTGTTTAATCTGTCTTAATAAAAAATAACTTGAAACCACCACAAAACTATAAAACATACTGGCATTCTAAAATGTCAGTTCAAGCAGACACGAAAGGTAAAATTATCTTGAATTACACTTCTCTTTGAAAGGGCTTGCAAGAATAAAATCAGTCTAACACACAGTGCTTAAACATTTCTCTCCATACTAGTTTAGTATTTAATACATTAAAAACCTGTTTGCAGAGAGTACTCAAGCAGGCACTTAATTTTAAATTTGTGCTTGAAGTTGTCACTATTAATGCATTTGCTTAAATGCCACCCTAAATGAAGATGCACAAAAAGATGATACTTGTAAGTACTTCTTTCTTTGTTTCCTGTCTGGGAAATAAAGAAGTGTGTGTTACACATTAAAAATTCGAACTTTTAATTCCTATTTTCACCAACTGATGCTAAAAAAAAGAGCATGCAGTTATATTCCCAGGCAAAAGAATAATCAAGATAAAAATTTAAACTAATGTAGTAGCTTTGGAAGTAAAAAAAATAAAACAAAACTGAATTTCACTACAGAGACATTTCTCATAAATTCCTAATTAGAAGGAAAATTTTATGAAGGACTGCTTCACTTTAGTTTTATTCTCATGGAAGTCTTAAACAACTGAATCTATATAACCACACCCTGTGAATGTGTCTTTATATGTTTTCTATATATTAAAAGATATATGAATTATTTTAGATGTAATATATAAATATACAGATTAATAAAGATGAAGATACAACATATAAAAATGCTTTTGTGCATTTGAAAAAGCTTGCTCTTTTCTCCAGTCTCTTCCCTATTGTCTGTTCTCACAATCATTTCACAGAGCAGGAAGAGAGCAGATTGGGAGAAGTAAACAAGGCTGAGCAGAGAGGATGCAGGAACTGAATCCTCTGAGAAGACTGACAAAATCCCTCCCAGAGTGCTAAGCAAAACGTGGCACGCATTTGAATACAGGAGTTGTTATTCTGTCTTTCTTAAGCTGCTGAAAAGCAAAGTGCATGTTTAGAAATGCCTTGGAGAGTTTGCCTTCTGGTTTTTCTTTTAGGTTTCTTCTTTTTATTTTTATTTTCATTTTTTACTGCCAGAGTCTCCAAAGCGGGACATGTGGACCAGACAGTCCATCTAAACTTGGCTGAACTCAGCAGCACACAGCAGCTGCTGGGGAGAGGTGGCCCTGCTGCCAACACCTCCCCAGCTGGACTGGCACATCCCATCGTCCAGGGGGCCTGGGCTGCACCTGCAATATTTACTTTGAAATCAGGAGTCTGCAAAATAGTGCCTAAAGCCTGCGCAGGCTCAGTAACCGAATGGACCAGCCTGGAGAGCATTCAGGGAGGACAGCTCATGGAGGGTGGAAATGCTGGCAGATCGTATCATAACGTCATGTAATACAACAGCAGTAGGAAAAAAGCTATAGTCAAACATCAGGAATTAACAAATGAAACAAATAAGGCACACACCAAACCCCAAGATGGCAAATCAATTATCCAGTAATATACAATATCCAATTAAAATACATTTTAATTTACTGTCATATCCCCCCCCCGTTGTTCTTGGTTTTAATTTGACAAAACACACGCACGGGGATTTTATTTCTCCCCACGGAGATTATTAGCAATTATAACTTTAAGAACACATTGGTTTAAATAAAATTATCGTTTGCAGATGCTTTCTAATTCCTGGAAGTGACAGCCTCTGCGTGGCTGTTCCTTTCAGAACATTGGTCAGTCTAAAACAGGAGAATGAAAATTCAGTATCACGGTCCCAGAATGATGACAAGAAAAGCAGTAAGGTAAATATCATCAAAAAGAGACTGGAAAGGCTTGCAAACTCTTAAAACTTCAAATTAGCCCGAACTGTATTATCAGCTGGTAGGCAATGACCGTGCACTCTGAGTAACTAAAAAATGCCTCAGAAAATGCCAGATCACCACCTTATGTGTACTGGGAAGCTCCCTTAGAAAACTGTTCATGCCTGTGTCCCAGCCCTCACCAAGGAGTCTATGGATCAAGCATTCCCTTGTTCCCTCCAGTGAGGTGTCCACACTGATGTCCTCCAAGGCACCCTGCAGGAGTACTGACAGCTGTAGGTGCAAAACAAATCTCTGCACCTTCCCAGCTTGGCTGAATGCTTCTGAGATTTCTGAGCAGGCCCTCAGATTTGTTTCCCTTCACGATTTGTTGCTCCTTCTTAGCTTTCTTCCACTTACATCATCACAACAACAAATATCGACTTACCAGCCACTATTTTTAACAGAGATATCCAAATCATTTCAGTCTGTAAGCCTAGCCCAAGTGCTGAGACATCAAGTAGGAGTGACGTGTATACAAAATAAAGTTCGTTCACATAAAGAAAGTCATAGGTCAGTTTTGTTTCCACTAGAGGGAAGGGGAGCAGCCCCCCACTAGCAGACAGAAGCTGATACATTCAGGATCAGGACTACGGTACCTGAAAGTCTTTCCCGAATGTCCTGGCTGAAATGGGCTTCCCTGCGAGTAAAGCTGCTGGTTTCCTGCTGTGGATGCTGAGGCCATCATTTTTTTATCTGCTACAAAAGAAAAACAAATCACAGAAAGAGAAAAGTTTAGGGGAGGAGAAAACAAAGGCAAAATTATTTAATGAAAATCGCAGCGTGCCTACACAGCAGGGATTGTTCTTTCCTTCTTAAAGCTTTATGAAGAAGCCCTGTGGAACATATTAGGAGCAACACAAAAGGGCTATATGACAATTTAGTATGAAACTAGAGGCACAGCTGGTTTGTGTCTACTCCATACCCTCTTCCCAGGATGCAGCTCATTAATGCTATTGTTTGCATGGAACCAGACACTGGTACGTGCCCTGCAGCTGAGGCAGGGACTGATGGGTGCAGAGACCAGCTACAGACTGGAAAGGGGAACAAAGGTTTTCTGGAAAAAAGATGGGAGTCTGCCCAGGGGGGTGGAGGAATGTCACATGAAACTATCCTGGCCTGATTCACATGCACCTCAGTGGTCTACCTGGGGATGGCCTCAGCCGAGGGTGCATTTCTGGCTCCAGAAGAAGCTGCTGCTGTTACTGCAGCCTCTTTGCACTGAGGTAGCAGCTGAGGGCCCACGCGACACTGGGTTAAACATCCCAAGGAATGGTGTCCAAGAGCCCCTGTCCTGACCAGCTGACAGCCTGCTTCCCTCCAGGACCGTCCCAGGCAGCCTGCTGGCATGCCCACAGATCTCGGGGTGAACCCCAGCAAACCCAGGTGATCCTGCAGGCCCTGCCTGCATTTCATTCTCACAGGTGGCTGGAGGCACTTTGTTTCTGAGTGTCTGCAAGACTTGCATACCTGAGCCGTGGCAAGGCAAAACACTGGTGTCTCATGGATTTCGCTGTCCTATATGAGCCTTAAGGGAGCCATGAAACAGGATGCAAGCATCCCAGTGGGGTGTAAGATAGGCTAGTGTAGTGAATAACACACACACAGAGGTGCCATTAACTTTTATAGTCTACTCTTAATGTGGCAACTGGAGAACAATGTCTAATTGAATGAAATGAGATTGGGTGAACAGTGTCATTTGGTCTCTTAATTTAATTTTCTGGCACTGGATTATTCCAAAGCCCAGGGAAACCTCACTACTACTACTGTTCTTAAAATAATTTAAAGGTCTGCTCCACCACCATTTATTCACTTTACCCATTTTCCCTTACCAAGTCCAAGCACAAAACGCCCCACAACTCACTGATGGCTTTGCAATCATCTGTTGCTATGCACCTCAGACAGGCCTAGAAATCAAATCTGCCTCCTCATTTCCCCCTGTGCTCTTTTCAGATTCCCACTCATTTCCCCAGATACTCTCCTGGACACAAAGCCACTCAACTCACAAGTAATAAAATTATTTTTAGTTTTCCCTTGCTTTAAGAGACCTTGTGAGTGTGGCTCAGCAAATGCCTCCAGCACACAGCAGCTCTTCTGTTACCTAGCACATGGTTATATGTTCCTAATAGCCATGTATTCCCAACAAGAATCAAAGTTGGCTTTCCCAAAGAAAAAAGTCACCTCAAATTACCTCACAGGAGCCTCGGAGAAGGGGTGCCCATGCCATGGATGCAAGCTGTCACTGCTTTTCCTCTGTGATGTACAATTTTTTAGAAATTCCTCACTGGCTACATATTGCCCAGCACAGACATCAAGTCTGGGCTGCAAACCTATGGTCTCATATTAAAAAAAAAAACAACAACAAGGAGAAATGGGGACAAGGTCTAGAGAAGGTTGCCTATGTAGTAGGAAGAATTGAGAATGGGTTGGGATAGCTCTAAGGACAGATGATTTTTCCTTTTTCTGCAGTAATGTCATTCTTGCATGAGATACCCCATTTTCCAAGGCCACCCTTTACAGGAACACCAGACTCTCAGGGTTGGAAGCCAAAATCCTGCGGGTACTTTGATATTTGAGAACAACTCCCCAGCAAAATTGAGAGCGCCCTAAATGAACTGGAATTCCTCAAGTGGAGCAGAGTTGCCATGGCAGCTGCCAGGGTCTGTGCCACAGGATGAGGCAAAGACTAAGGGGATGGCTAAACTAATCACAAGCAGCAAAATTGGCCTTAAAATCTCTTTCCTGAGTTGTATGAAATGCTCTTTAGCCTCTGAATCTGGCTCACATCTCTCCCAGCTGTATTCCCACTCAGGACTTTACGGACTACTTCTCTGCTCTCACCTTTGGTACAGCACTGAAAACCTATTTTCTTTTGGTGTTTTACCTGCATCCGTAGACACATTTCTCTCTAAACCCCAACACTGCACTTGTCAATGATTTGCCCTTCTCCCGGCAGGACCAGTGTTTCTGCCCATAGAACGAAGATCTCTGTAAGAACCACATCATCCTGTGCTTCAAGGCACTTGCATGACTTGGTGAAGCCAGGTTTCCTCCCCTCGATTTTGCTTTTTAACTATGTGTGGCCACTGCATGCAACCACGGCCACAATCTCCCTATGTAAAACCTGTATTTTTACAGAACAGAGCAGAGAATGAGACTGGGTATCAACATAATGCAAATGTCTTGCAGGCAGCATGCAGGTTTGTCAATATTGGTTTTGGACAGCATATCTCATCTCTAACTGTGCACCATCTCTTTTTATCATTCAGGGAAGACCTTGATCACAGCTCCCATGAGAAATTCAGACAGCGCGAATGTCCCAAAAAAAGCATAGCCTGTAAATTGATAAGAATGAAAAGAGAAATGGCATTTCCACGAACATAACCTCCCAGCTACCTCACAGCTTGCTAGACCCTTAACCCTAACCCCTCGCCACAAACAGTTGAGAGCTGTCTGAAAAAGAGTCAATAAGGCAGCCAAAAAGCAAGATGTTCTTGCTTGGAAAAACATATTCTGGTGTTTAAGACTGGAGTCTTGCTACCTTTTAATGGACCTTTTTTATGGCCTCAGCTGTTGACTTCACTGTTAGAGTAGATGCACAAGGATAAACAGGAATAACAGAGAGGTCCTAGCAACAGGACGACAGAGGATAAAGTCTATCCTGCAGTTACAATGCTGTCTTCATTTGAAAAGGCCAAGCCAGACATAAGAAACCAACGCAGTGAGGTCACCTCCCAGCACCCCTGGAGTCAGACCCTGTGGGTCGTTTCCTTCATGCACTGCACGACACTTGCACATTGATTTATTTAAAACAAATGTAAAAACTTCTCTTTTTCAGAGAGGACAGTTAAGAACAATAAACAACTAACGAGGTCTTCCACGAGCACTGGAATTAATGAGTCCGGTTTCCTACAGATATATTTCAGATGACCCCTTCAGCTGCCAGTCTTCTCGATGATTTCTGTCTGTTAGGGCAAGAGGCAGCACAGGTTGGGGCTGGTTTGAGCCAGCTACCTCTGTCTGACTGGCAAGTTGGCTGCTGCCTCTTGGAACAGGGCTGGGAAATCCTCTGGAAAGGGCACTCAATAAGGACCCTGTCCTCACAGTAATTTTCACAAAATACAGAAGAACATACCGATCTGAGACTCCTATCACTCTTATCAGAACTTGGCAACAAGTTCAAAAGCTGTGGGGAAAAGAGCAGAGACTCACCAACAGGTAACGCGACTGGAGATGCCACAACTGACTAGAAAACAAGTGTATCACCACACTTCAAGGCAGCATATGCCTCTGAAAGCATCAGTGCAAAAGCTGGTGACTTGACAAAAAAGTGCAGGCCTCTCTTAAGACTACACCTCAAGGTTCTTAATCCATGCCTATTCAGAGAGACGAACTCACACCTGCTCTACTTAGAAATGGCATGTCCTGCTCAGTATTTTTGGTATCTACGAACACTGCCTTAAGGTGCTCCTGTGAAATGAAAAGAGAATCAAAAATAGGTAGCTCTGCTGACATGAAAGCTGTCCTCTCCTCCTTGAATTTAGTCCTCATCATCTTTAGGGGAAATATCAAATAAAGGAAATATCAAATTATAGGAAACATCCTGAACACTGATGTTGCTTGGAAATTTCTCTGTCACGTTGTACTTTTTCTTCATTCTCTCGAAGGTCTGCTCCACGTAATGTAACCAAGCTTAACACAGTATTAAAAATTAAACATCAGAGGCATTCACTTACAAGCAGTTATTCCAGCGAACATCTCAGCAAATCGAGGATCTCTCTCTTGGGAGAAGATAGCGTCAGGCTTTTCCACAGACTTCCCACCCTCGTGAACGTTAGCTGGTATACTTGGAACAGGCACCTGTTGAGATACACAGAGGAAGGTAATTCCCTCTGTCACATCTGACAAAAAGGAATTCGGGAACATTCACAATGTATTTTTAATTTTACTGAAATCTGCCATTGCTTTACATTTTACAAGATCAGAGGCACAAAAATATACTTGAGAAATGTCACCTGAGATAAGTCATAGGATGACAGCCCATCTCTTTGATGTACTTCAAGTTCTGCTTGCTGTTGCTGAAGTTGTCTGCAAAGGAGACAAAATGACTTTGTTACAAAAACCAATTAAGATACAAGAAGGATGGTCTCCTACTTTATACTCCAAGTGAAACATCTTTCAGATGATTTAGTAAATCCTTTCCTGTGAGATTAATCAGTTTTTAAAGCTTTCTCATTGAGAAGGCTTGCACCACAGGAATGTAATGGGGCACATGAAGAGTTCTGCTGTAATAGCACAGAAATGTAAGGGGGTAAATGATGGAGGATGGGATACGACCTCCCCATAAAGGATTTAAGAATTAATTATTAAGAAGCCAAGAATGTCTTCCTCATGTTAACGATGAAAATACCAGACCCCTTCACTGATCCAACTAAAGTAATCAGGAAACCCCCAGTAACATTAACACAGAATTATGCCAGTCCACAAGAAAAAGTGATCAAAGGTCTGTCTGAAGCACGTCAGACCAAACGGAACAACCTGCTGAGCTAGAAAGAACTGCATATAAACCCTTCCTTGCAATAAAACCTATTTAACGTGCTTTGTTTCTACTCTCCTCAGGATCCAAGACCAGATTCTATTCAATTTTTGAAAGCTTTTAAGGCAATGAATGTCCAGAAATAAATTGCTTGTGTTACTATATAAAATCAAGACATTACATCAAATCAATCTATGTTAACAAATGCCACAGAAAACACAAGTCTCCTTTTCATGCTAATCAGAACTGAACAAATAATATCTGTTGTTCAAATAAGATAAAAATCACTGGAAGTAATAGCTATAATCCAATTATATTAATTTAGGAAAAATTAAATGTGCAGCAGCAATAGAAAAATACTTCAAAAGAAATAGCCAGAGCCAACAAACGTTAGGGGCCGTATGTCAGAGTGAAGAACTTGAGTGTTGAAAACTCTTCAGATCCTTGAGAAGCACTTGATTTGTGTTCAGTGTCAGGCACTGTCACTGAACTACGACAATCAGCCAATACCAACAGATAAAATCACTGGAAGTCATGAGAATTAACTGCCAGGAGACCTGTAGGGACAGCATGCAAGTGGTGGTAAAGTCAGGCATTACAAGAATGTACAGATCTTTTCTATAGTTGTAATGTATCTAGCACAGTCATCTTCTGAATCCACTTCTTCACTTGCTTCTTTTTTAATTCTGAAAGGACACAAATTCAAAGCTCCTAATTTAAAAAAAAATCCAAGACAGTCACATCAATTGAAAATTTTGAAGTTACTATAACAAGACAACTATACAGAAAAGCCACGGTGCAGTACAGTTTATCAGAAATAAAACCCAATTCTTTCGAAATGAAAGGCAAAAGTACTACTGATACTTAACCAGCCAACTGAAACTTAAAACAACCACTTGAGATTTCCCTGTAAAAAAGGGAAGGCTCTGCCATGGCCCTTGTCTGAAGAAGCATCACTGCCATGAAGAAGGCAGAGTTCCCTGCTCCGGCATGGGCAAGCACCACAAAGGGCACTGAGCCAGGCTCTAGGTTCAGCACCTCAACGCAGACTGCCTGTGTAATGACAAAAAACCTCAGCAGCTGCAAAATTACCTAAAAGTTTTGCACCTTCCATTAACAGTTGCTTTCTGTTGCTTTGTTCAGAATTAGTGCGATTACTGCTCGTCTGAGGATGCACCAGAATCGGGTAGCACACTGTCTCCGTGAGGCTCTTTGCACAGTTGGTAAAGACAGCATAAGAACACACAAGAATCACTTTTGTCCTATGAGTAACATGCAAAAAAAAAAGTCAGTTCTCCAGGCCATTAGAGCCATGGATCTTCCACATTTTAGCCAACAGAAAATTCCTAAAAATTACCTCTGGAATGCAAAGAAATTCTTTGTTCGCAAGCATAAAATGCATACTTTTCCAGCAGAACGATGGGAGGTAATTTAATCATGGCAAATCTATGGGGAAGTTTCTCTAAATACCACTCTGTGGACAATAAACACCCATTAAATCCTGTTGTTAATGTGAAAGCTAATTACACTGTTTCATTTGTTTTTACTACCAACGGCTTGGTGCGTGTGTCAATAAACAGCACATTAGGTCTCTCCTGTTCCGTATAAAGTATGTTTTCTTGATTCAGCCATATACATACAAATGAGCCAAACAAAACAGTGCAGTTACTAGCTATTTGTTTCACAGGCACTTCTCTAACTTACTGCTCCTTTGCCCTTCTCTATCTTTCATCTCTAATACTCGTTAAGCTGCAGCGCAATGTAAATACCACAGTGTGCTAACAGTGCTGAACTTTGGGAACAACCTCCCAAATCCATTTCCTAGAAAAACCAAATACTTCAGTGCATCTTCCTTTGCTGAACTCTGTGCAAGCTGTGCTGCACCCGACAGGATTGAAATGCAAGGCCAGGTTAGCATCTTCCGCTGCTGTTTGCTGCTACTGTATAAATAGCTCACACAATGCTTGAGACCTGAAAGAAACCATGCAGCAATTGATGGACCAGCCGACCAGGGAAAGCTGAGCGCTGCTGTCGTCGTTGCCATGGACCCTGCCATCCAACCAGCCCTCTGGACTGACCAGTCAGCACCTCCAGGTCCCTTCACTCATCCAGTTGCTGGATCGGTTTTGTAAAGATGATACAGAGCAAGGGATTATCATCAGTTTGAGCCAAACTCAAACTGCCTTTTGACTTTGAAACCAAAACCCAAAACTCTCCTTGGTTTCAACTGCAGTTTCACAGCTTCAAGAAGTAATCAAAAGGGAAATTTGTTGGCTCTACAGGATACCAAACAAAGCAAGTAATGTGGTGTCTGGGTCAGCAGAGGACTCTGCCTGTCCTGCAGGAACTCCTCACTCACCAATGGGTTGTGTGAAACCAGGAAAGTCCCTGGCTTGAACAAGCAGTGGCTGAGCGAATCTGAATGTTTTGACAGTTAATTCAGATTAACTTTGTAAATGTATTTGGAAGAAAAGTGATGATTCTGTGAAAGTTCCTGTGACACTGGAGAGGACTTCAGCCAAATTTCTCTCTCTTTCTGAACACTGAAGTCCCCTGTTCCTTTTTCAGGCATCAGAGTAACAAAAGAAACTCTACAATTAACAGTCTCTATGGTGGGAGAGAAACAATACTACTGTATCCCTACCAAAGCATTTTTATGTAATACAGGCACACTGTGTCTGGTTTGGAGAAAAAAGGAGTAATAAAAGCTTGGGGGCTGCCGTTGTAAAATCCTCTTCCAGAAACTCTCAAAATCTCCCTCTTTTAACCTACAGTTTCAATTAACCCCTCTGAAAGGGTCTGTGTAACACCAGCCTTGGGGGATCAGATAGCCCACAGATGGCATGGAGATCATGAGAAAGTAAGTCTTTAGTACCACTACCACAAAATACCACTGGAATTTTATCAGAATAGTTGATCTCTTCAGTATCTTGGCCCATGAGAATCTGAAAGAGAAAGCATCTCTCCCACAAGGCCAGGGTGATTCATCCCTTAGGCTGCCTCCAGCAGTGACCCGTGCCAGCTCCAGCCGAGACAAAAAGTCTTGAGACTCAGGACAACAGCAGCGTTCACAAATGCATGCAATGCAACACAGGACTTTGGGGCTTACAAAAATGAAACATCAGAAGTCCCATAAAGGTCAGAAAAAATACCTTTCCTCTGTATATAGATAAAGAGTTTTACATAGTTTTATCTGCCACCATGAGAGATTATTTTATTCAAACACTGCTCTATCTGTACATTAAATAAATGTTGATCACAATTATTATTTCTTTTTCTTTGGAAATCAAACAGTCCCAACTACACAGGAAGATGTGGTCAAACAGGGGACTCTTCTTTTCAGCTGAATACAGCACAAGTGCTAAACGTTCAATGCTTCATTTCTCCAGGAAGTTTCTCTTGGATGACTACACCCAAGAGAAACTGAGAGAAGTTTTCTTTTCTTCTTTTTTCCCCAAGAACTACGTGAACATTTGAACCCAATGTTTCGTTATCCTTCTGCACCAAAAGCGAGTTTGGAAAGCTGACTGTTTGCAGCTCCAAAGGAGTATCTTCATTTAAAAGAAAAACAAAAAAAGAAACAAACAAACCAAACCAACAACCAAAAAAAGTCAATTAAACCCTCCACAACTGGAGCCACCACTGCCCTCTACAGTTTTTTGGGAAAACGCTGTTCGCTGACCAACTCAAGAGCTATTCCACTAACAGACAGACAGATGTATGTACAATGGCTTCAAACCATCCTGAGTTAAAAACTGATTCAAACCTAGATCTTCTGGCTATGCTGTCTTTACAATTTCATGCTGAACTTTTAACTGCCTCAAACCTGTATTTTACAGAGCTGGCTAAGTTATCACAGCGACAGAGAAATCAAAATCTGTCTCTGTGCAGAACTGCCTACAACTGCGTGGGGGAAGGCACTTCACACTGGCCTCCACGTGAAGCACTTTGCTGGACCCAGAGCACCCGATACTTCCACGCACACGGGAGGATGTCCACAGACAACAGGGCTGGTCCCGAACAACCAGGCCCAGCAGGAGCTTCATGAGGAGGCGGAAATCAACAGTTACCGTGACGTACAACTCCCCCAGGCATCGAGGAAATCAGAAATCAAAACATGACCCCAGATGGGCAAAAAAAATAAATAAATCCAGAAACAGGCAGGAAAAGCAGCACATTACAGTAAGACCTCTTTGGAAATCTGTCCGAGAAGTGGGAGAGAACAGAAAACAGTGGGAGAAAGACAGAAAACAGTTTGAACGATGCATTCTTTCTGCTATTCAAAAGCAGATGTATAATGGGCTGTATCTTGCCATAAGACTAGAACATTTTCAACATGACAGGAAAGAGAGAACATCCTCTGAAAAGTAGCAGCAGGCAACTTCCATATTAGGTCAACATTTCTGGGTTGTTATTCAAACCTAGCAAGGGAGATACAGCAAGAGCCAGAAGCTGGCACAGTCCTATTCATCCCTGCAAGTGCTGCGATGCCAAGCTGTAAGTATAGTGGAGGCTTGGAAAAAAACATCCCGAGAGTCAGCACAATGTAAGTTTACAGCCCCTCTTTTCAATCTGTGGACTCTTAGGAACAAAGCACAACTAAGCCAGTCCAGGACAGATTTCAAAAGTTACTTTTTATTTTGCAGGCCTGTTTTTGCACATACAGATTATTTGGAAAATAAATATAGGACAGCAAAAATGTGAAAATATCTATTTTGATGCACAGTACAGACAGGGAGATATTTAGCTGTCTGTTTCAAGACACACTTACTTGTTTTCAATAAGTTTAGCTATTCAGTTATTAAGGCCCAACTTTTTGGGTATGTGAAAAAAAAACTGAGCAAAACAATTGTGATGCTGGGTTTCAAATGAGTGAAAGCATCGCACTTCTAGCCCAGTTATGTCTCATTTCCAAAGCAGCAAGTCAAGGAACACCCAGAGACACTTACCAGCTTTCTGAGTTCAAATGCCAAAGGTTTGGTTTCCCAAGTGGAGCGCTCAGCATGCATCTCCACTTGTAGACTGCTCGTTCAGCATTTCTATTATACACCCTAACAGGTTGAGATCTTAAAACCACTCATTTCCTCTGAGCTAAAAACTTGGCAAAAAACCTTTGGTTAGACCAGAAGCAGATTTTGTTTCAGAAATAGATTAAGTTTATAGTGGAAAGTAGAAATATTTATAAAACCCACACACACTATAAAGCAATGGCTTTATCAAGGCCAGAGGAGCTACTGCAGTTACCGGCTCAGAACTCAGGAGGCTCCAAAAGCTTCTCAGACAGCGATGAACCTCTACTGTACTCCTAGGGTGACCTCCTCCTGAGAGGTCCAGTGACAGATTTTTTAAAATATAAATTCAAAGACAGAATTATTTAATTCTCCTTTTAAGGTAAGGGGTTGGATCTGTCCCCATACCTGGGGATATTCCACCAGATCTTCACTATCAGGAACCCTGCCCACTCAAGTCTACTAGGAAATAATTTTGCCAGCTTTCATAGGCCAAAAGAGCCCAAGGAGAAGATTTCCAGGAGTAGGGGATGGTATGATCACAATGAACATGGACAGGCAATTTTCTCTTTGGCTTAGGAATCAGGCTAACCTTCCTCCAAAGGCAGGACAGCTGGTGTCTGCTGCTGGGAGCTCTGTGCTGGTGTAAGGCAGCCTGGACAGAGATCAATGGCCTTGTGTAATGACATAACAGATAAGTGATGTTTCTGTCCCAGTGCAGCCAGGCCCTGGAAGCACCGCAGGATAAAGACACAGAGAAACAGCTACACAGCGAGATCGCATGATGCAGAAAAACCCTGTTACAGCCTGTATAGAGAAACAAATGTAGCTAGAAACAGGCTACCAAAAAATCAGAATGTGCTTTACAGTAAAAAGCCGTGCTTAAATTCTTTCAAAACCACATACATGAGCATCTGGAAAGGCACATACTTTACATTAGTGTTGGTGCAGATGATGTATTCAATCTCATCGGAATAAGGATTCTGGAAAGTGAAGCTGCTGGTTCTGATCAGCATCCACTCCCGGTTTTTGGTACGAAAACGATACATCACAGACAGGACTTGACCTTTCAGTTTCACAACCTGCAAAACCATTTGGAAACGTTAGTAAAAGGAGATTGGAACCCACTGTGCAAATGAACAGTAAACAGCAGTAACTGGTGTGTTTTAAACCGGAATTACAGAAAGCTAAGGACACAGCAGGGAGATTCTTAATTTGAAGAGAGTAAGAAAAATCTGATTCATGTTTGCAGCTATTTTCTTCAAAATGACACCCTCATGCTTTGTTGTATAAAACGCCATTTTCCAGCCTGCATAGAATACAGATTCGGGACAACCAACAGGCTCTGCTGTTATCCCAACAGGGAAGCTTTAAGAGGGTTTTAACGTGGCAAGCTTATCAAGAGAGATTGACAGAAACCAAACTGAGGATCTTTTAAATGTTTAGATGTAAACCATAAGCCAAACGTTGCAGCTGAAACAAAAGCCCACAAGAAAAAACATTCTGAGGTTGACGATCTGCTTTTCTGCTCGGATACCTAGCAATACAATTCTCATATGTGATATACCAAATCACACATCAGCATCAAAATTTAGGATTATATTTAAGAAAGATGGCTTTTAAAATTATTTTTAGAAATCATACATGGTTGGGGTTTTTTCTCAAATACATAGTATGACCATCTGTGATGGCAAAGCACTACTGAGAAACATTTGCTGCCAGTCTTTGAACGGAGAGAACACCAATAAGCCACTGCCCATTCTAATAGTATTAATGAAACGGAAAGTAAATTCTTTGCTTGGACAGTCTATTTGTTTATGACTAAGAATTCAGATGTCTGGCAATACTCAGTTCAAATTCTGTCTTCAATAGCTGGAATTTTGCTGAAGTCAAGAGCTGGGCATCAGGCGAAAAGTAAAGCAGCAGCGAGCTAGAGAAGTATGCTCAGAACAATCCTTGCTCATTGGCACTGTAATTGCATTTTATGTGTTATCTAATAATCTTGATTTCAGTCAGAAGAAAACTGTTAAAGTTTCAAGTTGTCCAGCTGGCACTTACATGGGCTGTGTTTATCTTTTATTGCTTTTCCACCAAGCTATCTCAGGGGTGCCTCAGGGAAGGTCTACTGCAAATAAATGCCACATCTTGTCGTGGATTCTTAATCCTTATCCACTAGAATTTATTTTTTATTAGCTATCAGCAGCCTATGTTCTCTAAAAGTAGAAAACCCACTACTCACTCTCTGTCTTTATTGACAAGCAAACGGATTGGGAAAAATGCTCCAATTCTGTTTTTTCCAAAGGTCTGCATTTCAAATTGATCAACTGAATACAGGAATAAAAGCAAAAAGTGCAAATAAAAGACACAAAATCTTTAGCATTGCCCAGGAAAGTTTAAAATAATGCTTAGGTAAATGCCCTTTTTGTAGTTTGAGTCCAGTGAGTGACATTCTTTTATCAGCAATTTTCTACTACCACACCCAGGGCAAAAAAAAAACCAACAGAGCTTGTGTAAAAGTGTCCAATCTGAATGGCATCCTACTGGATATCAAATAGCTGTATTCTGGATCCTTTGATACTAAACTCTATTTGTTGATCTTGGCCTTGAGACTCTCTTATTCTGGCCTGATTTTCCCACCCTGATGAATGAATTTATCTTCCCAAGGAAGTAAAAGCTTTGAGATGGATACTGGCAATTGACCAAAACCTGCAAAACCCACCCTCCCTCCCTCCTCTGTTATGCACCAACCTGGTTCTGACACTGTCAGCAAATTTGAAATGTCAAGTTTTTGAGGGTTTTAGGAAAAAAAAAGTTTATTGGAAATCACGGTTACCTTCTCAATGAAAAGACTTCTAAGGCCAAACTAACAATAATAAAACAAACCGCAGTGATCTATTGTCCTGAAGTCTGAATTAAGCAAACACTAATTTTGTAATAATATATAAAGCATAGAGAACACTGGTGGGAAAATCCTGAACTGCATTAAAACAGTGCACACAAACAAGATAGCACACAAAATTTCAAAGCTAATGTTTAACCTTTACTTTCTGACATTCTTTGGAAATAAAAACCACCTGGTGCATAGCTTAACTGTTTACTTCAGTCTTTTATTGCATGACTGAAATAACAGCCCCAATCGCACTGCTACTGTACTGAAAAAAAATATACTGAAAAAGGAATTGCCTGCTAAAGAAACAGCCCAGTATTTTCATAGATTGGACACAGGTCGAGTGAACAGGAACTTTCACTTCTGATCTGCATTTTTTCTCCTGCTGTCTTTTTGTATGACCTTGAGGAAACCATGTAGGTCCCCGATCCAGCAAATCATTTATTCCCGCACCTAACGGTGAGCAGTGGCAGTGAAATCCACAGCACCTGAGTTCAGGGATACACCAGCAGCCTCGCACCGCCTGGTTTTGCTCTCAGCGAACACAGCAAGAACCAAGTCATTAACTTGAATGTTAGTTAGTCAGCCCTGCTGAGCCCCAGGCAATCACTTCAGAGACGGGTGTTTGACGTGCTATTATCCAGCAGCTCTCTGTCACTGTCTCCTCGACAAATTAGTGGAATCAATCATTTGGGCATTAGTGAAAAAACAGCATATGCCTTCTCACTGCTTTTCTTGTGCCACTGCTGCAATCAGGCACAAGTTCAGGGAGCTGAACCAGCTGAAAGCTAGTCCTGTGCAAAAGTGATTAGGCCATAGCTAGCCAACCTGGCAAGCCCATCTGTGCTTGTATCAGGAGAGCAGGAAGGGTGGGGAGGAGGAAAGGGAGGAGAGGAGGAGTGGGAGTAGGACCTGACTGCTGGTGACAGCACCCCATCAGGTAGTGAACTGCAGCATCACACCCCCAGCCAAGGTGGGGCAGAGGAGATGACTGGATGTGGTGACCTATTTCAAGCATGAACTCTCACAAGCTCCTGCCTGTGAATCAACATCTTGGATTTAAAAGTTCTTTAGCTGCTGTTTGAACTCAGTCCATTCAAGGGACACTGAAGTGGATGCAGAGTCCTCACACAATCTACTGTGCTAGCTCAGCAGTGGGCTGGTAGTCTCCACTTGAGGAAAGGTTGATGAGAAATAGCTCAAGAGTACTGATATCTCACACTATCTCAGACACCGTAGAGCCCATTACCTCAGTTTCACAATCTGTTCTATGGACACAGAACAGCATCTAGCTGTTTTCCCCAGAGAGGTTTGTCAAGCTCCATTTTTGCAAGCCATGCCTGAATAGTTTGCTATACAAATTATTTTAGAAGTCACTTAATATCCATGTTGCACAGCTGAAAATACATCTCAACATCCAACACAAGATGGATCTTCTAAACTTGGTTGAGCTATATAGGCTGTTGTCAGAATATCTGGAACCACTTAGATCATCTGAACCGCAGCCATCGGTTACATACACTGTGCCGTGCTTTCAAGTGCAGTAAAAAGACCAGCAACAAGTAGAAGGCTTGGGGAAAGCACTCCTACTATATGTCCCAGACCAATTTGATACAACAAACTCTACAACAGAATAAATGCCTTTGATATCGCTGATGTATACGTAAGCCCACTGTGAAAACGAATCCAAACCAGTAACTCTTTCCATATGTTATATGTCTTTGGTTACTTCTATCTGCATTTCAAATCCTGGGCCAAATCCTTTATTGATGTAAAATAGTGTAACTCCTATGAAGTACATCATCGATGCTAGCAGAGAATCCAGGTCATAAACAATCCAGCGTTACAGCAGGGTGTAATGGCTTTCCAATCAACAGCTCATCTTGGGAGGTAAATACTTTTGGTTACCACTCAACACAGTGGGATCTATACAGGCATCTCCAAAACAGCTCTAACCGTGCAGTGCACACACATTCGACTTTTTGTAAAAAACAAAACAAACAAACAAAATGTGTAACTAGGTGACTTATTTCTGAACACAGCGAACAGATGCTGCAGTTTAAAATTATTTCGTATTTTGTCATACATTCTCCTGTATAACAAAAAATACCTTGAAATGAAAAAGAAAAGCTACCTCTCTGAACAAAATTATAAAACAAAAAAAAAGGCAGAAGTAAAGGATGCAGCACCTGTTGGAAACTCTCCCTCAAATGGCTTTGATCTTCAGGATGGCAGAACTCTAAGATATCTTTCCCCAGAAGATCCTAGAATAAAACATAAAGCTGTGTAAAAAACCCAGACCACAACGCAAATCCATGTGCAGATCTGCAAGTAATCCTTGCAGACACTAGATCTACCACTCTTAATGGGAATACTCACTTAATTTGGGATGAATCATACAAACAAGGTTTGTAGGCATCATGTCCCACATTATATTTGTACTGTTGCACAGATATATGTATTCACAAACAAACTTTAAGGTTTTTTTTAATACCTGTGAAATGGTGCCTTGAAGAGACTGACATCCTCTACAACAGCTCATTTTATGGCACTACTTTTTATAAAAACAGTTACTATAAAGCTCCCTAAAATCAAGATAAACGGGAAAATCTCATGAGCAAGAAATTATTTTTGCCTGTAAATTGCAACTGTTGAGAGTTATCTGAGGTAGTGCTGTGGTAGTCAGGAGTTCATTTACTATTCTGCTCAGTTCAGTTACTAGCCTCCTATTCAAAGGAGCAGATGTAAAAGCCTAAAGGAAAATAGATGCTATAAATGATGTTTGTTTACTGTTCAATAGATTGGCAGAAGTAAAGATCTACAGGACTAAAACTCTCTCCAAGCACTGTTAACTTTCCATCACAGAAATGTATTCACTGGAAAGCTGTGCAAGGTTAAAATCATCTTGCTGTTAGAATTCTAATTGGATCTAAAAGGTATAAAAAGATATCCCACATAACAAAGGGGAAAACTATACATTTCATAGAGGCACAGACAGCAGAGAAAAATGAACACCATTTGGTGCATGACATGTGAATTATCAGCTACAAATATTTCATGTTTTGCTGCCTTTTTTTAATATGGAAACAGAATTTTCTTCATTAACTCTAATAAGGCTCCGCACTCAGGGCGACTCACTGACCTGGGGCTGGTAGCCGATGACGCTGATGCACCTTGGGTCGACAAAGGTGATGACTCCATCCGAATTGTGCCTGGACAAGAACTCAGTTGGGACCGACATCCCATTCATGTCCATGCACACTGGAGAGCTGGTTACCTAGGACCAATGACGTCCACAGCACTTAGTCCACTGAACAGTCAACTTACGTCAAAGTTGATTATATAGTCAAAGAATAAAATCTGTTGGCAGGCTGCTGACTACTGAAGGAAGTAATAAATAAAACAGCAGCATGAATAAATGACACAGAACAGCCTTCACTCTAGTCTGCAGTGCTAATATCTCACCTCATACCACGTATCTAGGCTTAACAGCACAGCAGGAGAAAAATACACCTGAAGTTCCCAACAAGAAGGGATATAGTAAGGATGTAAGTAAGGCTGGATACATCTCACTCTGTGGGACCACAGTGAAGTTTGACATCTTGATCCTACCCTTGTCAACCACGAATAAGCGACTTCCAGAGGACAACTCAACCCACCCATTTTAGGATGGAAAGGTCAGTTCATTATCTGTAAACGTACCCAACAGACCTAGCTCAGACCAACCACTCATCTTCCAGGTGAGGGTCATCTGAGAATACCAAGAGAACCTGAACAAAGTCCTCCAGAGACTGAGGTGGCTGCTCTCAATGAAAGACACATTTCTGTAAATGCTCCTCAAATCTCAACAGAGAGAATGATGCATCTCCAGCACTGTGCCTGAAACCTGTGCAGTTGGGCCACTCATTTATGGTATCCATTCATTTATACTGCGGCTGCAAATGAGGCCATTGTTTTTTCTCACAACTTTCAGGGCCATGTCTGTTAACAAGGTCCTAATGCAAAAGGAACAAAACCTCATTTTCTGGGGTCTTGAAGCAGCATTAGTTAACAGTATGCAAGATTTCAATTTGCTGTTACAGAGCAGAGTTTATGATTTGTGCATCTTGACTCCTTTGTGATTAAACCCATCCCCAGAGCCTCCTCTTGCCCTCCCTCACATACCCTGCTGGCTCTTCTAATGTAACAGATGTTTTGACACTCCACATACTACCAATGTGATTTGCTTGGAAATCATCTTTCTTTGGCAGCTGTATCATATGAATCCTCATAACTTCCTTCTCTCCATCAGTGGAATATATTACTCTTGATTATAAAAGCGTGATTAACCTAAAAACATCGTGCAATACTTTTGTAGCTCTGCCATCACAATGGAGACAGACTGCACGAGTGCTAACACTTGCAGTAATGTGCAGGCTGTTCACCTCAAATGAGGTGGGTTTGGCACCCGTGCTCCAGTGAAAAGGTCATTCTACCTTGTAGGAAGGAGCGATGCCATCCTAGCAGATGGCAGTGAGTGCAGGACAACAGGAGATCACACAGGAGGCTCAAACACACTCACCCATGGCAGAATTCCCAGACTGGGAAAATGAAATTGAGCCTCCCTGCTGCAGTGAAGGAGACACTGCAACTGCACACGCTTCTGCTCAGAGCTGTCATCAGCAACTGATAAAGGCAGAAAATGTAATACATCGATTGCAACCGTCAGGACAAAAAGGAAGTAAAATTATATTCTCACAGTTCCCTTGGCTGACATCACATCTGAATGCACGCACTGAGAATAAAGCTATTTGTTAAGTGCCTCTTGACTGCCTTATCTTTACCATTCTCAGAACATCTCCTGCAATCACAGTTTTTCAAGCAGTTGATTAGACAGAGAGAGAGAACGAAGGAAAGAATAGCAGGGAGCATGTAACTGGCTTTGGGAGACACTTGACCCTACCATCTGCAGCATCTGTACTCCCACATTTCTCAATCTAGAATATCCCAGCCCAATGCACCATAGAGAATAGCAGGTCTGTACATGCTCATGCTCCAGGAACATCTTTGCCGCTGTTGCTGGGTTAAATACACGTATGCACCACAATCCCATTTTAATTTTGCTCTGCTGACTTGTTATAAACAAGTTCTGCCCACGGCAGGGGGGTTGGACCAGATGATCTTTAAGGCCTTCCAACCCAAACCAGGCCGTGATTCTATAAGTCACTGGCTACACACTGACATCAAGGTACTTCATATTTTGGAGGTGTGTTAATAGTTACAGTCTTGTACCAGAACTTTGTGCAAATCCTTTACAACTAAAGCACAAGAGTGATTATGCTTTCAGAAGTAGTTATATAAAGAAAGATTGGCATTACCTGAAGCCTTCCTATTGCCACGAGGCAGTATTTACTACCTTGTCCCACATCAGCGTCTTCTTCTGGTATAGTCATTCCTAGAGTAAACAATAACAAATACTGTTATAATTAGGAAATCTGGATAAGCAGAGGTGCTGCTGGCCTGGCTCTATACTATTGCAGATGCTCTAAATCATACAAAGTAACCTTATTGTCTTCTCTAGGATTCAGGCATTATCTCTGGGTTCAGATGAGATGATCTTTCTCAGTTGTGCTCGATGCTACATACCTGATGTGCGCACACAGTACCCACAGCAGCAATTCTGGCTGCTGAAGACAAAGCAGATACAAAGATTCCATTATAGACTGACACGGACAGTAACATTTCCATGAGCACTGCTCCATAGCGTGTTACTGGAACCATGTGGTCACTTAATATGGTCAGTGAATACACACCACGTTCAGTTTTCTTTGTCTATAATATAATATAATGAGCCTTAAAAACAAGGCACAGCCCAGATTATTAACTTCATGCTCACATTTAACAGCTGGCTTTACTTTTTTCTATAATGGACTAAATATGGGTTGTTACGTTGAAGGATTGAAAAAACACGGGTGCTTTGCTAACAGTGCTTGTTTCAGTTGTGTAACAGGAGTAACTATTATAAACACAGGAATAACTTCAAAACCTACATGTGTACTGTTTTCCATCTCAGTGCTTCACAAATAGGAATGTTCAGATTAGCTGTTTACTTGCTAGTTGGCAACGCCTTTCGTTGAGGCTATTTCCCAACTCCAGCTTTGAGATACCAATTTCCGATGAAGCACTTGAAAAAATATCTTCCAAGACTGACACTGCTGACTTATTTTAAGTGATCTGTAAGCTCTTTCACAAGGCTTTTCAAGGAATTCAGTCACAACAGGCAGTGAATCATTTAAGAGGCACTTTAAAGCATTAATGAGATTAACTGCAAAGCAGCTACCAATTATGAAACAACACCCACTTTATTCTAAAATTTATGATTCCCAATGTAAGTCAACCTTTGGACTGTGCAGAGGATGACAGCATACAACCTTCTTAAATGATGCCTCTTAAAATGACTATAAAAGCTGCTGGATGAACTCAAGTAGTCTCTGAAGGAAGTTATTTTGTACAAAAATAATTGAATCTTATCTGACCATCTGTTTCTAAATAGCGCTCTACAAGTATTTTTCAGTTCCCATTGAGCTATATAATAAAATAAAAGATACCAAGTATGAAAGACACCTCCTCATATTTTTGTATAATACATTCAAACTTTATTTGCAATGGAATTCACAATTTTGGGGGCCTAACTTCATTGGCAGCCCCCAACAGATTAACTAGGATTTTATGAGGGGATCTCAAGAGCTTAACAGAGGAGAAGCATTACTGTCCCTTCTAACAAGTGGGAAATTGAGGTGCAGTACATATTGCAACATTACACACCACAAGAGCTGGGCAGAAACCTTTATCTTCCACACCATAATCTTGCTATCCAGAGACACAAATTTGGTCCTAAATAGCTTCTAAACCTACAGATATCTCTCACCAAATGCCAGGATATTCCTCTGAAATGTTTTCTTTGAAGCTGTATGAGAAAATCAAGGTGGCAGTATGTGGCCTTAGGAGAACATTTTAAGAAATCAATCATTGAACACATAGGTTTAAAATAACATTGGGTGGAATCGACATGGTAGTTTTCAATTAAACATTATTTTGTGCTTCCAACAAAGGTCTGTCTGTGGGTTACGAGGGACCCAAACTTTCACTCGAGATCCTTCACCTGATTTAGAACATCCTTGAAAGGAAGACAACCTGCATTTACCCACCCTGAGGGACTGTTCTGCACTGCCTGCAGCTCATCAGTGTATTCTTCAAGCAGTTAAATTACACAGCATTTTTTCGCTATTTCACACACAGCCATTCCAGTCTCTTTTCTGTTACACACCAAGGAAATTACAAACAAGAGCCCAAACACAAATAGGTCCTGTGCTCTGAGACACCAGCACGGAGAGCATAAACCACTGACTTAAAACAACAGTCAAGAGATTTGTATTACAGAATTACTTTGTTCTCCTTCCTTGCCGTGTTTACACACAGTTATTCCTTCAACACAAGACTCCGTAATTAGCTAATGACAGCTCCAATAAGCAAAGGAACTGAATTTGGCTGCCTCTTGGGAAAAAGAGAGAAAATTACCCTGAAAAAACAGCAGCAAACATATCTACTCAAAATTGCGTCCACTGAAAACAGTATTTTGGCAGACACGCGTCTCCCCAGCCCTGAACTCTGCACCTGAGCTGCAAAACCTACAAGTGTCAGCTGAAAGATCAAACATTTCCAAAGCCGGTGCCTGCGGAAATCCCGGTTACGTGCAGACACCTCAGTGCAGGTGGTCTGATCTAAAGGTGGTGATTTCAGGTCCTACCACCTTCAGAGGATTTTCTGGTGTTTCTGAGAATTTGGGCACTTAAACACAGGGGCCTAAGCACTGTTTTAAAGAAATAATTCTAGATTTTCTAGATGGATAACCTTAACCAAAAGGCCCCTTTAAAATGGAGCTTTCCATTTGGGAAGGACAAATTTCAAGTATTTTCCCTTGACTTCAAAAGCTCTTCAATTGTTTCCTCAGCGGCACCATATACTGCAAAGGACAGCAGATACTCAGCTGGACGGCTTCCACTTCACACCATCTTTTTTCTGCAGCTTTCAACAACGCTTTCCTTTTAAGGAACTTGGTCCATGCTTGCTACTGCCCAAATAAATTCAAAGCAACATAAACAATCTCCAAAATTAAACCTAGCTAAGAAACACCATTTCTGATGTCACTCTCTTGGCAAGGGAGGCTGTTGTTCTAATTTTCATTCCCTTTTTTTTTTTCTTTCCTTTTTTTTCCCCAAGATGGATTACATTTAATCTGTATAACACACTGGAAAATGTATCAGTTGGGTTATCCCACAACTTATTCTATGAATAAAAAACAATATGCCTGGAATTAATTGATACACGACCCAGGGAATTGCTAACCCTTCCCTAAAAGTGCCTAGAGTACAAATACACCACAATGATTGTCTGCTACGAAGGTGCTATTCCTAACAGCATTGCATAGAGGAAAATTGCTCTATTTACTTTCTTGCTGGTAGTTTCAACTGTGAGTGAGCTTATATATGAGATGTATTGGTAGAAGCATGCTTTAGCATAGTTCCTATTGAACAAACTCCAATACAGGTATATAAAGATAGGTGTACTGTGCTTAATACTGGTTTGTCCAGCTCTTAATTCTGCTCCTTAACATTCCAAAGTACCATCAGTATCTCAGAAAACTTGCAAAAGGCTCCAGGAAAGCAGCCATGAAGCTGATCTTTAGGAGGCATCAATAAAATAAACATACATTAGCTAGTCACATTCTTTACGTGTAACCCTGAGAGAGGCTTTATTTCTCAACACCAAATATACGCTCCTCTTGAATAATAAATACAGCACTATGCTTGTTCAAGTTAATATCAACAGTTTGCAAAGCTAAGCCTGCAAGTGAGCATCACAAACAGAATGCCGTGCCGTTAGAGGTTATATTTAATTTCCAAGTGTCCTTTATGCCAGCAAAGAGTTTCCCACAGGGTAAGGCATGTGCTTATGTGGACATAAGGAACTTTTTAGTTTTCCCAATGAGCCTCCAGTTGGCTCTAACAACAAAACAGCTTCATTTTCTGCCTTCTATCTCCATCCTTCTGCTCCATATTTTCTGACAGGCACAGAACAGCATTAGTAGATTTGTGGTTTTACTTCACTGTACTCAAAATTAAATTATTTATGAGTCTTTAGAAGGATGTAATTTAAGTGTCCAGTGGTCACTAGCAATCCCCTGTTGATGCCTATCTCCATCAGAACCATTACCGCCAGTGACAGGCCAGTGCATGAAGCTGCACTGCGTGACCTCATCTCCCGTACACAACAATGGAAAAAGGCTTTCACAAAGAAGGCTGTGGATGTTTACAGCATATCAAGGAAAAATCTTGTGAAAAATCCCAACAAAATCTAAATTCTTCCTTTTTTTTGAAAAAAAATAAAGCCTTAAAAATGACAGCAAGCAACTATTTTGTTTTGTATTGGAAGAGGGAGTACTTTGCACAAACGTCCAGATTCTGGCCAAAACTTTAAAATAACCTAACAGCTTTGGCATGCTGTGGTTAAGACATTACCGTAAGTCTGACTTGGAAGACTTAAATGTTTCTTTTTTAAGATAAAAAACTAAGGAGACAAAAAAAAAAAAGATTTCAACATTATTTGAATTTCACATTATTCTGGGACTTTTTATTTGAAGTTATCGAAATAAGTATTTATCTAAGCCTTTTCTTTACTATTTGTTTTTCTGCAGGTCCTGGTTTTGATTTACAGAAAACCAGCAACATCCTGAAGGACTGTATCTTCTCTCTCCACCAAATATTTTCCATCAATTGTTATGGCATGAAAACAAACTATTAGGAAAATATCATATGGACCGCATAAGATTCATTTCCTTCCAGTAATGAGATGCTCAGAGGGGGAAAAACAGAAGAAAAGCAAATGCTTGCTCAAACTGAAATCTGCATGATGAGGAGAAGGTCAGCATTTCTCAGTTCTGCGAGTGGTTATGAACTGAAGCACTGTCGAGGCAAAGGATCACGAGATGCTTCACAGGGGACAGAGGCTGGCATGGGTGCTCAGCCAGTTTCAAACACCTCATTCTTTTTACCTCATTCACAATAATCCAACACTGCACTGTCAGTATTTAATCTAACATACACTGCACATGAGAAATGAACAATGTAACCGGTTGCAATGTTGACCTGGAACATCCGACTCCTTTTTCTATGACTTTTTCAGACTCAGAGTCTGCTTGAGTCCAACATAGAATTCATGGGGATATAAGCGTGCATGTATATGGTGAGTTTTGTACTTGATCTTAGTTTTACCCTTCTCTTGCAGGCACAATGGAGGGAAATGAACAGACCCTTAACAAACCCAGCCTGAATGGACCCGGTCCTCAAAGCAGCTCTGTCTTCTCCTCATGGAGGCAAACACTCTGTACGAAGAGAAGAGCCAAACAGCTCCTTTTCAGGGGAACACTGAGGGAGCACACGCTGCAGCACTCCTGTGTCAGCTCTGTTAGCACAGGGAGAGGCAGGTGCTGCCCACGAGTCCTGCATGCTCTGAGCTCAGCTCTGTGCCGAGAGCCAGGCACGATGCTCCCTGTGCTTTCTCTCCAAAAAGGGGCTACAGGCAGTCTGCCAAGAAGTGAGCCTTGCAGCTCCATTAAGGGTAAGAGAAAAACACCTCGGGCTTGATGTGCAGAAGTGTTTTCATGCTGACCACAGACATGAGCCACAACAGAACTTGCTTTCTACTTTAGACCTCTGAAAAACCACCCAGTCCTTAAAGTATGCCACCATGCCAATGCCAGCTGTTACTTGCTTTCACCTGTTTAAAGTATTTGAATTACTTAAGAGATTTTGAGCATAGACTACTCACAGCAAGAGTGTTGGCAAACCTGATAGTCTATCATACTGATGATGACCACAGAGCAGCTTTGTCTTGGTATTTCTGTATCAGTACTGATTGTGCTATACTTGGTGTGGGATTAAAAAAAATTAACACACTGGCCGCAGACAATGCAATACAACCCAGAAAGAGAAAATAGCAGGTGCTAAACAAACTAGATTTAGATTAAGTGTATTTGCTAAATATTTGTTTTGCTTATGAAAGTATGTTTTCTGTGTTGTATATTAGTTGTATAATGCACATGCCACATGTCACGCTCTAGAAGAAAAGTCTATGGAGTTCATATTAGGATGTCCATCTGGCAATTGAAAAATAAATGAAAATTTTCCTTTACACAGCTGCATTTTTAAACAGCTGTGATTTAGCACAAACCCATTTACTCCCAAGAATCCAGAGATGATACAAAGGCCAGGGGCTTGCTACTCTCTTAACTGATTTGAACAAAAGTAATTTTATTACAGGGTAGAAAAGCCTTAGCAAATTCAATTACTGTTGCAGTTACTTCATTTGCTTTGCAGATTATGGTTGAATTACCATTGGAAATGAGAACAAACGCAGTGTTGTTGCCACTTATTTACCCAAACATACTGGGGACCAATTCAGCTCATGGATATTCCCATTCTACTCTGAAAGTCAATGGATACATGACAATCACCAACACAAAGTTGGAAAGATTGAGAGGGCAAACAAACCCTCAGGAGAGAGGCCCCGATTCAGTAGTATATGCTCTGAAAAAGGCACACAGGCATGACTATTATGAGTAACAATTTGGACAGTAACATAAAAGATGATTGAAATTCCACATAAGGCTGTCAAAATCAAAAACATCCCTTAGGACTGTGCTATAGTTTGGAGATATTAACATTGTGGAGGAGCATTAGGATATCATAAGAGAGCACCATGTGATTTTGAGGAGCAGAGTAATAGAAATGGGATGAAATTCAACATTACTAAATGCATAAGCATGCACTTGGGGACTAATAACAGTCATAAATGACAGCAACAGAAATGGGATGAAACTTCATATTACTAATTGAAAGATCACACAATTCAAAGCTGGTTTTGCTATGAATTGGAAGATCCTGAGGTGACAACTGAGAAGAAGGCTGCCTAGTATATATCCAACAGGTGATTCAGAATGCCAAGCAGGACGCACTCTACAAAAGAGACTTATGCTATGTTGCATACTGCCAGTTAAGACAGGACATACAATTTTCATGATACATCACTACAATCCCATCTGTAACCAGAGTGTACAGTGCCAGTGACACACATTTTGAAAAGTTAAGTGAAAACATGAACAAGTGCAGAGAAAAGACACATGGATGAAGAAGAGAATGCCTTGCGAGAATGGAGATGAGAAGGAGTGGGCTGGTTTAACCGTAAAGTCAAGGCTGACAAGATATGACCTCCTGGAAATGCACCAGAACACTGGAGAGGGACAGAGACACATGGCAGGAAAACTCCTGCTCGATCTTCAGTGAAATACAGTTTAAGAATACACTGGCATAAACTTCCCATAAACCAATGAGGACTGGAAATTAGAGAGGTTGTTAAGCACAGGAGAGCAGCGAGGTTTTGGAAGAGCTGGAGATGGGGAAAACACCTCACTGGGAACTGGAGCTTTCAATGTGGTACCTGACAACTGGGCACTCAAAGATCCAGAAGATCCTTTTCATCCCATGCTCCTGCACTGCAGTGCCTGCTCCCCTGCAGAAATGGCAGCCGCAAGTCAGACACTGGTGATGTTGTAACCTAGCGCTCACACAGGTTCATGTATTTGCAGCTCTGCATTAGCAACACACACTCCTGAAGGGTCAGATCTCTTTAAATGTCCCCTAACATGCAGCAAGCTTTTCATTCAAGCTAAGCAAGGAGCTGAAAGAAATCTCATTTGAACTGCACCTTCCTGAAGAGACATCCCGTATATCAAGGCTGAATTCAATTATGTTTGGAATTACCAACAGAAAAGTTAATCTCTTTGTAGAACCAAAAAAAAAAAAACCCAAACCCTTTCATTTTCATAGAGCAATTTACACATACTGTGCTCTAAATCTTTTGAGACAGTAATGAAATGGAAACATTTTGACTCCTGCAGCACCCTGAAGTATATTATATCTTATTAGCAAGAAGAGGGGAGGTTTTCCTCTTCCGACACTGCAATTCAGCAG